GAGTCCTTTTTTAAAGCTGATCGTTTTGTGTTCATTTTGTTTAGTTCTTTTTCGTAACAGATTTAATGTTTAGTATAGAGCTTAGAAAAAAAATTTGCAGTGTGAGATAGGCAAGAAGTAAGGCATGTAGCAACATCAGCATGGCAAAGGGAACTCCTTTAAAAAAGGCAAGGAAGGGTAAAAATATTTTAAGTCAAGTGATAGCGATTGCTGTACGAGTCGTATGATTTTGGAATCAAGCACGGGCAATGCCGGGCCATACTGCTAGTATAGTCATAAAATATCCTTTGAAAATTTGACATATAAATGTGCGTTCAAAGTGGTCCCAAAAAAAAAAAAAAAACAAGTGGATGGAGGGGGTGGGACCCTAGGATTATCCATATCAATAGAGGCAAGAAGTTAGTAGGAAAATGTGTCCGGCTGTAAGAGAAGTAGGTAGGTGACCAGACTAGGTGGAGCTGCCCAGCAGCCAATGACGAGAAGGACCACTAGTGTGGAATCAGGAGTCGCCAAAGCCAGTGAAGTTAGGAAGATATCAGCTGACCTCTCGAAGCTGGCGGAAGCATCCCACATTTAAGTGAGAAATCGTATTGCTGCTACTTCCCAACCAAAGAGTCTTGAAAAACAATTGTCTTCATTTTATTTGTTGAAAGCAATCATGGTTAAGAAGACAAACCTGTGCACATAGCGAGTTAGATGTAGATGCAAATACACTCAACTTTGGATGTCATCACAGGTGCAGTGAACGACGAAAGATTGGAGAACATCATCACAAAACCCATCACAATTTCACCATGAATGACGTCACACTTACAAAACATACAATATTTAATGATTTGTACTAATATTTAATAGTATTAACATTTAATGGTTAATACTATTATTTAATGGTTAGTATTAATATTTAATGGTTAGTACTAATATTTAATGGCTAGTATTAATATTTCTCTACTAAAATTAATATACAGGCATATTTCCTGAAATAATGTGTTTTCAATTGTAAACACCTAAATTTTTGACTATCGGATTATGTACTTCCTGGCTACATCAATTTAATCTATTATTTACACAAGTCTCACTGAATTGCATTCACACTAAAAGCATAAAATTAAATTCGGTATTATCAATCCTCTTACCTAGAGGTTTTTATAATAATGGACAAGTTCATATAGTCACTGGGGGTTGTGGGATACTATTTACTCCATAACAGTGCCAATTCGTCATAATGAGGAGGAGAAGGAGAAGGATGCGCATTTTCTAGTAAGCTTCTGCTTATTTTATGTTCCAGGTTGTATCCTGATATTTTTAGCTCAGGTTTCCTGGCATCAAGTTGGATAAATATGAATAATTGCAGCCAAAAATGGTTTCTGATTCTTACCACCACTGACATGTCATTTCTTGGCAAAATTTTGAAATAACCTTTAGCATTTTGTATATAGATGCCTTCATTCGTCAAAGAAAATGTTTTACAGCCACTGCATGCAACTCTGATCATCAGACAATAGTGTGGTTGAATTTTATGCTAGTGTTGTCATATCCTACTATGGCAACAGGAAAATGACTAGCTGAAAATCAAAGATGATGCTACTGCAGTTGGCTGGCTAATTATAGCCAATGGATGAAATGCTTATGAATATTGCAGAATGTGAAAGGTTAAATGAGTGCTCTTCTCATTAAAATTATGATAAATACACACAAATAGGGTACTTTCAAAATCTATAATTATTAAAAATGTTTTCAGAAGTGGGCTAATTGTACACCGTGTGGAAGAAATACCCTCCATACAATGGTAAGACCTCAGTGGCAATGGTGTCTTCATCTGGCTAATATCTTACCATTATGTGGGAGGTATCTCTGCCACTCCAAGTACAACCAAACAGACGAGTTTCTGGGCTTGAGAGATAGAATATCAAAGATTGAATGTCCAAGTATTGATCATTCTTGAATTTAAAATTGAATTTTTAAAAATATCTAATGTCTTTTTTTTTTTTCTTTTTTTTTTTAAATCAATTCATCCCAAGCAAAACGATAATGACACTAAGATGCAAGAGGCTGCTGGGTGTGAAAGAGAATGAAAAGATTTTAGAAGAAACCTGGAACTCAATTCTAAACATGAAACAAGGGATAAACCTCTCCTCCTGTTCAAAAAACTAGAAAGGGCGATACCAGGGATGTGTGCAAAGCTTTGGTGAATTTGAGTATCCACCTTCTACTTCGGTTCTTTAAAGAACAGGAAAAGATGTTCATGGATGAAAGAGAAGAAAAAAAGAATCAAAGAAAAAGAAAGAGAAGAAAAAAAAAAAAGGCTCGTAAGAAAAAAAAAAGAAAAAAAAAAAGAGAAAAAAGAAAAAGAAAAAAAAAAAAAAAAAAAAAAGAAAAAAAGAAAAAAAGAAATTTAAAAATCTGAAAAAAAAGACAGAAAGAAAAGGAAAAGAAAGAAAAAAAAGAAAAAAAAAAAAATAAAGAAAGAAAAAAGAAAAAAAAAAGAAAAAAGAAAGAAAAAGAAAAAAAAAAAAAAAAAGAAAGAACGACAGAAAGAAAGACAAAAAGAAAGAAGAAAAAAGAAAGAAAGAAAGAAAAGAAAAGAAAGAAAAAAGAGAAAAAGAAAGATATTTTTTGGGTCAACTGGAAATATTCATAAAAATTATCCCCCAAAGTGGACCACTTAGTACTCAGAATATATTTCTAACATTTTATTCTTAAAGCCTTTTTTAATAACTGTCTTCTGGTCCTTAAGGTTTGTTAAATTTCCTTCTTTTTTTTTTAATTAAATAAATTTTATTTCTTCTGTTGAGTCTTGAAAAACGAATAAAACCTCGATGAAAATACTTGAAAAATAATTTCCGAGTTTAATCTGAATTGAGTCATTTTACAACAGTCCAACAGTAAACTGTCAATTGATACCTAATCTTAAAAGGTATTTTTTTAAAACTAAATATACTTTCTTCTAAAATTAAAGAATTGAAAGCAAACTGTCAAACATTTTAAAATTTAGAAGAAACAATGTTCATTTGTAGTAAACATGTTTAAGTGAATTTCCTGTATTTTGCACAATCAGTTTTCGTAAATAGCCCGGATACTACGGTGAAATATAAATTACCCTTTTTTCTTCACTTTGGCTTTTGGCATATCATCTATCAATAGTGTCCAAAGTGAGACAGTCTGTCAAAATAAAGTAACGAATGTTGTTACCATGTCTACTTAATGTCTCCAACTATAAAGAATTCTTGATCTTTAATGTCATCTTGATTGCCTTCAAGTGAAGGTTTGTTTACATCCACACCTGAAAAGTGTTTCAATTTAACAGCAACCAAAACATTATTTTCTAACCTGAAATGGAAATGATTTTATTTTTGAAAGGATAAGATCTTTAGGTGCAAAGTATATAAGAACAGACTTAAAACTCTTTAGTGAAATTTGAATAAAATTTATATTTATTAAAAAGACATTAAATACAGAATATAATATTTACAAATAAAATTACACAATTTACCGTTTTGGGTACCAAAATTGTTCACATTTAGGCCAGCTTTTTCTAAAAAAAATGGTCATTTTTTTTTTTAAAATTAAAAAAAAAAAAAAAAAAAAAAAAAGTTTCCTTCCAAACACTTATTTAATATTCAAAAACCAGAGAAGGTTGGGTCTTAAATTTCTATTCTCTAACAGAACCACAATATTGAGATAAATCTTGAAAGTTCAAAATTAGGGTAGATACGTATGAATTTAAAGGGAATTTTTTTCTGTATTTCTTTTGTTTTCTTTATTCTTTTTCTGTTTTTGGTAAATGTTGGTTTTGTTTCCCCAAGCACTAATATCCCTTAAAATTTTTCCAAAATCATCATAATTCCGTGCAAATGTACATGCTGAACTCAAATTAACAATTATGAAGAAACCTTACCGTTTTGGAGTTATCGACAAGAAAAAATAAATCGGACTTCTTGTTGGTCATTTGTCCCCCCCCATTAGTGTCATAATGAATACTGATTCGGTGCGGGGTACTTCCGGCCTATTTACTTCTTTTACAGACTTTCCTTACAGAAAATCACTATGCACTACCATAAAGAAATGTATTTTTTTTTTTTTTGGTAAGTGTAGTTTTATTTATAACAAAAACAAATTAAATAATACAACAGAACCTTTTTTCCATTTTGAATAGCAATGACAAATTAAAAGAACAAATTAAATAATAAAAATAAAACATGGGGGGGGTGCTCTTTTTTGCTAACAACCATGCATTCTGTCTTCTTGCAAAATATGTTTAGTCTTTTCTTCTCGCTTCCCTTCTTTACTGTAAGAGCTTTTGTAGTTTTATCTCAATGTCTGCTACCAGCACTGGGTCAGCTGCATATCTCATGTTGTAAAGATTGTGAGTGCCAATAATGAATCCTGGTAGGGCTTCTAGTTCTCTCAGAAGAAAGACATAACAACACAACCATGGAACTCAAAATATTACAGCACAAACATTTTGTGAGTGGAACAAAGTTGCTTATAGAATGTTAAAGTTATTTTGTATTTCTTGCATTTTAATTTCCATTGATTTGTATTATTTTTCAGACCATCATAATGGACCAGAATTTTAAAAAAGAAATTTAGAGATTCATACTTACATACTTCCTAACTCAGGAAAACAATCATAACATAACATCTGCATTATCAATTAGGCTATGGAGAGGCTTCGAGCTTCAGAAGCTCAAATTGAACTACATTGCTTTCATAATTTTTGTGTCTGAATTACTGAAATGGGAAGTTATTATTTCTGTTATGTCTAGCCTATGGCGACCTTCTCTGTCGGCCAAGAATCGTATAATTGTTTGTCCCTCCCTTTGTTAGTTCACATGATGGTTACGCCCTGGACTCTTAAATAATGGACTCTTCCATTCTGATCACATGAGGAGACAAAAAGTGCTACTTGGTTTCAATAAGAAAATGAAAGAAAGAGAAGATAGAAGTGTTTAATTTCAGTCAAATGAAAAAAAACATTTGTCAATTCAATTCTTTTTTTATTTATATGATTCTATTGAGAAGAGAGGAAGAAAAGAAGAGAGGAAGAAAAGAAGAGAGGAAGAAAAGAAGAGAGGAAGAAAAGAAGAGAGGAAGAAAAGAAGAGAGGAAGAAAAGAAGAGAGGAAAAGAAAAGAAGAAAGGAAGAGAGGAAGAAAAGAAGAGAGGAAGAAAAGAAGAAGAGGAAGAAAAGAAAAGAGAGGAAGAAAAGAAGAGAGGAAGAAAAAGAAGAGAGGAAGAAAAAGAAGAGAGGAAGAAAAGAAGAGAGGAAGAAAAGAAGAGAGGAAGAAAAGAAGAGAGGAAGAAAAGAAGAGAGGAAGAAAAGAAGAGAGGAAGAAAAGAAGAGAGGAAGAAAAGAAGAGAGGAAGAAAAGAAGAGAGGAAGAAAAGAAAGAAAAAAAAAGAAAGAGGAAGAAAAGAAGAGAGGAAAAAAAGAAGAGAAAGAAAAAAAAGAGAGGAAGAAAAGAAAAGAGGAAGAAAAAGAGAGGAAGAAAAGAAAAGAAGAAAAGAAAAGAGGAAAAAAAAAGAAAGGAAGAAAAGAAGAAGGAAGAAAAGAAGAGAGGAAGAAAAGAAGAGAAGAAAAAAAGAAGAAAAAAAGGAGAGAAAAAAAAGAAAAGGAAAAAAAGAAGAGAGGAAGAAAAGAAGAGAGGAAGAAAAGAAAAAAAAAGGAAGAAAAAGAAGAAGGAAGAAAAGAAGAAAGAGGAAGAAAAGAAGAGAGGAAAAAAAGAAGAAAAGAAATGTTGAAAAAAAGAAAAAGAGGAAGAAAAAAGAAGAGAGGAAAAAAGAAGAGGAAGAAAAGAAAAAGGAAAAAAAGAAGAAAAAGAAAGAAAAAGAGAAAAAAAGAAGAAAGGAAAAAAGAAGAAAAAAGAGGAAAAAAAGAAAATAAAAAAATGAAAAATGCTCTGAAAAAAAAAAAAAATCTTGTCAAAATTTTGAAAGAAAATTTGAAAAAAATTCTTAAAAAAAATAATGAAATGAAATTCATAAAGAACAGACGATTGTAACTGAAATATTTTGTTGAAAAAGTAATATATATATCAAAAGAAAAAAGAATAGCAAAAAAAAAAAAAAAAAATCAATTTTATAGGCAGAGTTGATTCAATTAGAAAAATTAAAACTTAAGAATCAAGTTTCTTCAGGAAATTCAAATTGGAAAACCATGAAATTTTTTTATTGAAAAAAATATAACATGTTTTTATTATAAATTCAATCAGTAAAAACCAAAACATTTTTAAGTCATTTATAATTGCTTTATTTTCTCAGAAATTTGAAGGAAAACACCACATGGGCAAGAACAGGTCTTGTCTCAAGAAAAAAAAAAAAATTTCACTGCATGACTTGAGGGTGGGGTGATGTTTCCTGAGGGTCGAGGACACAAACCAAATCATTGACCAGAAATGGTCAGTTGAAGAAAAGATAAGTTCAACTGAATTGTCATAAGGGCACCGTGTTTGACATTATCAAGAAAAAAAAAAATTTCAACTGAAAAATGATGGGCAAGGAGGTTGTGGAAAAAGAAAATAAAGGGGGGCCATCAAGTTTGAGGAAAAATTTTTTTTTAAAACCCAAATCTTCAATGCTGTCTTCATCAATCTGAGGAAATGAAAAAAAAAAAAAAAAACAAGTCTGGTAAATGCTAGAAACAGGAAACTTAATTGATATTTAAAAGTAATCTTTTCATATATTACATATATATATATTTTATATCTTTTTTATAGTTTTAGGTCTAATTAGTTTTAATCCACAAATTAAAAAAAAAAAATACAATTAACCCCAGTTTATTTTAAATATAAAATAAAAACATTAATCCTCATTATTTGAAAAAAAATTTTAAATCTAAATCCCATCTATTTTAAATACATTTTTTTTTTAGTACAATATATAAACAGATAGAGTTATTATGTATGATTAAGTTGGTTGCATTAAATTTAGTATAATTACAAAAATTTTTTTACTGAAAAAATTGAAAATATACTAGTAATTTATGATCTTTAGGATTTTTTCATCTTCCATTTTTGGAAAAACCAACATTGTATATAGTTTAAATAAATTTTGGAAATGGTTTTAATGGCAAAAAAAAGTAAGTACATATGTCAAATTTAACCACATTATCAAGATATCTTAATCTTATATATCAGATACAAGTTCTATCAAACAACATTTAAAGACAAATTCCTGTCCACTTTCACAATACAGGAAAATATTTGTTGACGATTCCAATAAACTACACCATAAAAATAAGCAAAAAACTTAAAATCCTCAAGTCCTTCTATATCAAAACCAACCAACCAACACTGAACAAAATTATTATGATTTTATAATAAAACATTTTAAAATGTATCTGACAAATATTTAATGCCAAGTTGCATTTTTATCTTATTGTGGACATTTGTTTACAATAAAACACCATACCAGAGCTACAACAGTTAAAAAAAAAATAAGTACATTATTTTTAGTGTTTACAAAAATCATTTACTTTAACCCTAGAAGACTAACCAAATGGGTATATAGTAAGAACCATAAACAAATTTTCCTATTCTTAATTACAATTTTAATACATATATGATTTTCTTACCTAAATAATGTTTTTCATAAATTTAATTAATATTAATTTCAAAAAACAATGTAAAATATGCCTGAAAATAAATTCTTTCAAATAAAGATTTATATTTAATATTTTTTTATATCTTCAAAATCGGGTAAAAATATACCCATGGTTAAAAATGGTGTAACTTTAATTGATATATTAGTGTTCTAGGGTTAATAGTTTATCATTTTTGAATGGGTTAATAAAAAAATACGGCACCTTTTTTGATGGATTTCAATTTAAAATCAAGAAAAATTAACAAACTAGAAATGATTATTAACAAAAACATACACACATAAATATGTATCAAAATAAAAAAAGATGAAAAAAAATTTTGAGAATATACAGATAGCCATTATATATTTCAATTCAAATATTTATTAAGAACTTATCAATGAAAACACATTTTCTTAAACAAGTTTCAAGTTTAAAAACTTATTTGTTTACTTATGTTTGTAAAGGAAAAAAAATGGCTTGACAGCCATTTCTCAAGTTCACAATCCTGGAAGTAAACAAAGAGTTAAATAAAACAGTTGACCAAATGGAATTATTTATACACACACAGACAAATTTCACAAATTTTTATTAATTATAAAAAAAAAAATGAATTCAAACGAAATTCTAAGAATAAAATTTAAAACTATAAAAAGATAAACTCAAGCAATTTTTTTGAATTTTAAAGAAATTAACAATAATTATGTGGATCTAATTGTTCAACAAGGCCAGAGATATACTTGTCTAAATCCTGTGATAACATTGCATCATTATTTTAAAGCTATTAAATTGTCTGATAATGATATATTCCAGGATTGTTTATAAGTATTCAAAAAATTGTTAATATGGCCCAAAATATATGCATATTCCTTTAATTTTAACCTAAAAAAATAAAATAATATTACATTTTTTTTCTATTGAACATTTTTATAAAATTTTTAAAAATGACCTGTGTCCATTTTTCTGGTATGATATCAAACAAATCATATTTTTTTTCATATTGGAATGAATCTCATCTCCTGTTTTTTGAATTTTGAATTTTTTTGAAAATTTGAAACCAAAATATTTACTAGCATCTTTCAAATCAATATCTGAAGCAAAGAAAAAATAAAAAATATATGAATATTTTAAAAAAAAATGTATTTAAAATTTCCTTTTTTTATCCAAGTTTTTAATAAAACAACTGAACCTTTATGGTGGTTAATTTTTTTTTTTATAATATTTCTCACCTGTTTATATAATTTTTTTTTTTTTGTTTTCAGAACATAAACTATAAAAAAAAAATTTGAATGTTTTCCAATTTTTAAAGTTACATTTTTTAACCATTATTTGATTTTACATTTAACTGAATATATGTTCAAAATAAAAATATATATAAAAAAAGTTATAAAAATCTTTTTTTCAGACATGGTCATTACATTTATTAAGCAAGAAAAATTTTCAAATAATTTTTTTGATACTGACATATTTTTTTTATTAAAAATGAAATTATTTTTTAACCCTTTTGTCCATGTGGATGATGCTATTAAATTTATATTATCAAATGAAATATGTTACAGATATTTTGATTTTTCTAATGTGCTTAATTTAAATGAGATATAATTGAATTTATGGTCAATTTATTGTAATGCACAAAATTTTTTTTATTTTACATATGTTGTAGCATATCCAATATAATTATTTTCAAATTTGAATTGGTCAAAACACAATTTTTGAAAATATCATTATAAATTGATGGTTAATATTTTCTCTCTTATTCTAGACCATCCTGGTGAATTATTTTTGAATGATGAGGTTAGCAGTTTTAATTTTTTTTAATAATAAATAATTTAAATTTTTTTTGACAACTACATTTTAATGTATTTATTTAGCATGTTTCTATTAAAGATTCATCTTACCATAACTTACTATGCATTTTGATTTAAAAGAAAATATTAATGCTATTGTTTATAAAAAAAAAATTTTTTAGTCTTTGTTTAATTTTGAAAAATGAAAAAGAGAATGATAAAAAAATGCAATGGTCAATATCCATTTTTGAACCAAAATTTTTATACTATAAAACTCTGAATATATATATATATATATAAATATATATATTTATTAATATATACAGGGTGCAATGGATAAATTGTCATCTAAATTACACAAAAATGAGAAAAACAATGACATCTCATTTTAACAGATATTTACCAAAATTACACAAAAACATTTTTAAATACTAAAGAGTAAATTTATTCAATAAAAATCGCCATTGGCTTCAACCAAAGCCTCCAGATGACTTTGGAATCTCCTGCAACTCTTCTGGATGGTCTCCTTGTTTAAGTTGGTGAATGCTGCCATAATCCTTGCCTTCAGTTCATCTTTGGTGTTACAAGGAGTTTTGTTGGTCTCTCTCGCTCAACTGCGCCCCACACATAATAATCAATGGGGTTGCAGTCTGGGGAGTTAGGTGGCCAGATGTAAGGGGTGATGTGGTCGCAGAAATTGTCTGACAGCCATGACTGGGTTCTCCTGCTTGTGTGGCATGGTGCAGAGTCCTGTTGCCAGACATAGGGTAACCACCCCTTGACCCAGGGCAGCACTACCTCCTCAAGGCAATTTATGTAGGCCTCCGACTTGAGTCTGAGGCCCTGTGGGAAAATGAATGGAGTTCTTTTCATCAGAACCATCAGAGTGAGTTTTTTCAAGCCAAACACCTTTGTAATCACCATTAGACTCATCCAACTTTTCCTGAATCCTCTGCACTGTCCTCAGATTGACACCCAAACACTCTGAAATGTTTGTATTGGAGCTTCTGGCATGAAATGCCAAGCAGTACAGCATGCCGTTTCCAAATTTCTGGCTGAGTGAATTGTGTTATGGTTCCCTTTTTCTCACAGATGGTGCCCAACTGAGCCTACTATGCTGTGCAGTCGGCAAAATAAAAAACAAACAACATGCATGCACAAAATTAAAAATATAAAATGGTGACAATTTACCCATTGTACCCTGTATATATACATATATATATATATATATATATATATATATATATATATATATTTTTATATATATATAAAAATATATTTATTATAATAAATTGAAAAAATTAAAATAAAAATAAAAAAAAATCAAATATTTTTAAAATTTTTTTTTTTGGAATAAAAAAAAAAAAAAAACAATTATATTAATGAATTTTAATAATAAAAGAATAAATATAAATTTATATATATATATTTAATATATATATATATTGAATATATATAATTAATATTTTATAAATTACCAAAAATGAAAAATTCCTTTAATATATATAATATTCCATATTTTTTTAAATTTATATAAAACAAAAATAAAATTTCAAAAAAATTTCATTTATCAATATTTTAAAATAAATAAAATTTATATTTTTTTTAAAATATGTTCATTATACAGGAAAATGATAATAATTTTTTTATGAAAAAAAAAAAAAATCAATATTTTATTTTGTTATATTAGAATTTTTTCAAAATTTTTTTTTTTAAAAATATATCAAAAAATTTTTCAACATTTATTTTTTGATATTTTTTTAATTATGAGTTATTATATTTTCATTTTTTTGTTTAATAAAAAATTTTAAAAAATTTAAAAAAAATTTTAATAATCATAGAAAATTATCCTTTAAAAACAATTTTATATTATAACAATATTTTTAATTTTATTTTATTTTAAATTTTAATTTTAAATTTTTCAAAAAAGAAAAATTTTTTTCTTATAAAAATTTAAAAACAATTATCAAAGAATTTTCATTAAAAATTATTTTATTTGGTATAATTTAGTTTTTCATTAAAAATAAAATTATAAAAATTTTAAATTCTTGTTTTTTTAAAAAAATTATAAAAATAGATATTTTTTAAAAAAAAATTAAAATAAAATTTAAATTTACAAAATTGATTTTTTATTTATTATTTTTTTTTTTTAAAATTAAGGATAGAAAAAAATATTTTTTTTTTTTGAGAATTAATATTTCCAAAAAATTAAAAAATAAAAAAAACATAATTTTTTTTTGAAAAAATTTTTTTAAAAAATAATGAAAAAAAAAATTTAAAATTTAAAACCATTTTTATGAATTTTTGTTTTCCATTTTTTTTCTTTAATGATTTAAAAAAAAAGGAAGAACAAAAAACATTTCAAAACCAAATATTTTTTAAATATTTTATATAAATTTATGATTTTTTTATTAAAAAAATTTTTTTAAAAATTTGAATAAAACAAAGGGTTAAAATTGATTTTTTTCAATTTTTCCATTAATGACAGTAATATATTAAAAATTTTATATAAAAAAAAAAAAATGACAATATTGAATAAAATAAAATAAAAAAAAAAAATTAAAAAAAAAAATGAAATCCCAAAAAATGATTAAATTTAATAAAAATTTACCTTTATTATATTTAATATAAAAATTTTGAATTTTATTTTTTATGAAAAATCAAAAAAAATATTAAAAGACAAAAACAAAATTTTTAAAAAAAAAAAAAAAAATCATTTTTTTTTTTAAAAAATTTTTTTTAAAATAAAAAAAATTGCAGAAAAATTGAAAAATTTAATATTTTACAATAAAAATTGTTCAAACAAATGTTTTTATTTCAAAAAAGTTTGGTGAAAATGAATTTTAATAATTTTATTCATTTTTAAAGATTTAAAATAATATATAATAAAACATTTTTCTTTTTGACAAAAAAAAAAAATTTTTAAAAAAAAGAAAAAAAAAAAAATTTAACAATAATTTTTTTGAAAAACATGAAAGTCAAAATTTTATATTTTAAAAAATGAATTAAAAAATTTATGAAACTTATTTGCTTTTATTCAATTTATTTTCATCAAAATTTAAAAATAATTAAAAAAATTTTTAAAAAAAAGGAATTTAAAAAATTTTATATTTATTTAAATTTGACAAATCATCTTATTTCATTTCAGGTAAATAAAAAAATTTATTTTGTAATTTTTCAAAATTTTTTTAATAAAAAAAAAAAATACAATTTATTTCAACATGCCATATTTAAATTTGATTTTATAAAATTTTTTATCAAAAAATTTTATCAATAGGAAAATTTTAAAAATAACAAAAAAATAAAGGTTTGAATTAAATTAAAATCTATAAAAAAAAAAAAAAAATGTAATTTTAATTATAACAAAATCAAAAAAATAAAAAATTCAATTTAAAAAGAAATTGTTTTAATAATATAATAATGACAAAGAAAAAAAAAGCATGGATTCAATTCTATATTAAAAATTTTTTTTGGAAGTATGTAAAATTTAAAAAAAAAAAATTTTTTTTTTATTAAAAATTTTTTTTTTGGAAATGAATTTTTATGGAAAAAATTTTCATATGCTATTTTAAAAATTTTTTAAAAATTTTAATAATTTGAATTTAATAAAAAAATTCAAAAAAAAAATTAGAAAATTTGATCATTTTTTAAAAAATTTCCTTTTTTTTATTTATAATTTTTTAAAATATAAAAACATTTTTATAATCATTATATAGCCAAAAAAAATAATAATTATATTTAAAAATATAAAAAAAAATATAATTTTAAACATTTGTTTAATTTTTTTTATTTTTAAAATCAATATATAAATTTTAAAATAAATTTTTTTTTTTTTTTAATGAAAATATCTTAAAATTTTTTTTAAAAATGTTTAAAAAAAAAATAATAATTTTATAAAAAAACAAAAGCTAAAAAAAAAAAATATAAAATAGTTTAATATTTAATTATAAAATAAAAATAAAATAACATTAAAAATTTTGAAAAAATTTTCAAAATATAAATAATATTTAAATGATAAACAAAAAAAAAAAGACCTAAAAGAAATTTAGATTTTTATATATAATATAATGATAAGAAAAAATAATGGTTTTTTTATTAAATTTAATTAATAAAAAATTTCTTTGAGGTATATTTTGGGAAAAAGATAAATTTAATTAAAAAAAAAATTGTAAATTT